ACAGGCATTCCGCGTTGTGAGGGGATTGAATTGTGGCCTGGCGTTTGGGAATATTTTTCGAATTTGTTCCCACGACCAATCTCGGAATTCACCCATTTAAACTGCGCGTTCAGCAGGAAAGGCTAGATGTGCGCAAGTTCTCCTTCGCTGTTAAAGTGGTCAAGGCATGGAGTGCCCCCCACATATATTGTGATTTACTTTACGCTGGAGTGTTTTGAAAGAAATATTGACAGATATATGTTCGAAAATGAGTCGGGACTATGAGGGATCTAACTTCACCCCTGAAACTCTCGCCCCAAATGGCGTATTTTATAGTCCCGTTTGAACTCTTGCAACCCACATGGTTTCTCTGTACACCGCGGCCAAGTTTACGTCGTAAATAGGGTACTCGAAGGCTCATTTCTTCTTCCCTCAATAAAGTGAACCAAACTGAACAAGAAACCAGAAAGCTGATGATATTTTCTTACCGGGTTCCGGCAGGGTAAGCTCGAAGATAGCCTTGTGGTCGGAGACACTGAGGCGGTGATAAGGTTCCAACTCGGCATCGGTATAACCGTTACGTTTCAAGTTACAGTATAACTGCACCTCGGGACGGTTCTTTGTGCAGCCTAGCTGAAGGAAACCAGGCTCAATCTGGCCATTGGGCTGAATTTTTCCCGGAGGAAGGCTCAGTACGCCAACAGGTTGGTCCAACTGAAGTCCGTAGTGCTTTTCATGCAACCAGGCGGGACCCCAATTCAGGTCGTCACAGGCGGGATAGGGCTCACACTTGATTGCGCCTTTGTCACAAATCAGTTTATATTCACAGGCAGCTCTGAAGGTCCCGTTTCTGGCCATTGCCTCGTTGGTGAGGTCCTGAAAAAGCATCAGCAGCGTCAAATTTAGAATTTGATTGGGACTGCCCTCCACCCGGCATATAAGGGTTAAATATGTAAAGGTCGAAAAGCTAATTAAGAATTTGTTGGACAATGAGTGGAGGTTTCTGAGGTCTAAAGTATATTCTGCAGTCCGTTATAAGAGGAGGGCAAGAAAAGCAGCGATTATTACCCAATCAGGGAAACGCCTAGCTTTTCTGCGCTGACCTTGTGGTGACCAATCACAGGGTCGGGCGTTTATGTACCTAAATTTGAGGGGGGCGCGAATCGTCACGTGTGTGACCGCAGCTGGTTAGCACAAGATTACTTATTCGGCTGATTCCGAGAGAAGGGAATAAAAAAGGCCGAAAGTCCATGGGCAAAAATGGCTTCTCGACGTTTAACTTTTCTTTTTTATCTGTAAAGAAATATGTTCGAGGGATAAGGTACTAGCAGGTGCATAGTCTACCTCTTAAGGTGAATGGGCATTTTTTCCCCGAAAACCAGTTATTGGTCGCCTCGTGCAGCTTAGCTCTGTCTATGGTAGTATTAGTAACAAGTACCATAATAGCTACAATATCTTGGTAGAGTTCGATCTTGCAGATGGTCTTCTGTTTGTGAACTCTGCCACTCCATTTGAGGCTTGTTTGCTTCGAGAAGCTAATATTACGATCGTGCTCCTATTCCTATGATGGGTGCATCTCCGACACTTCCGTGATGTTCTCGTGACCTCTGCGATCTTCTCCTCATGTGACCCTTAGCATATTGATAAAAACTAGGATGAGCTCCTCCTGACATGCTTCAAACACTCAGCAGCAGGCCATCCTATCTCGCATATACTTTCCCCCCACGAGCGACAGTTTTTTTCCTTAAAATTCCTCAAATAGCATTCAAACTTGTAGAATGTCCGAACACTGCCTAAGAAGTTTTTCACTGTCTGCTCTTTTTACTCTGTTCCATTTAGCGACATCGCCACTCTTTTGAAATGTTCTGCCGAACCAATGCATTTCATAGCTGCTATGTACCAATAGGGAGTTCGAAAGCATTTGCATATATTTCCCTTAATATACCTGGCCTGACCTGTCTGAGTAACAGCGCTGTCCAGAGTCCCATGCATGAACGGCTTCAACCCCCTCGATACGGTTGTTAGTTCTACTAATATGGCTGACGCAGCAAAGAAGAAGACATTCAAGGTTTAAAAAATCACAGTCTAAGGTAAAAACACGTGATTACAAGGCATTAAAAAATTATCCAGGTTGTTCAATAAATAACCGCCACTGGCGCGACGTTACGTAAAGAAGAGTGTGCCAGTTAAAGTAAGAAAGTGTCGAAATGCAGCTGACTGCTTCCAAGCAAAGTAAATTTTGGTATGATTGATGGACAGCGCATCTGAAAACCGAGACCAATAACAAATTCGATCCAACGGTTATTACACAAGTTACAGACATCTGCAGAGTAGGTTTGACTTAACGTTGCCTATAGCATAGGGCTAGGGTTAAGATTAGCATTACCAGAAGAATATGCGATCACTGAAACGAGAATTTTTATCTTCCTGAAGTTTAGGGATTCTGTCAGTAATCCCAAATCATAGGTTACCATAGAATGGTGTGAGACATGCGCAGATTGGGGTGATAAATGCACATATTGCGCGGTATTTATAGTTCGTAGCGGCCATCCGCATGCGCACCATAATTATCAGTTCCTGTCACCACCGCTTGAGGTCGTACTTGGTGCGGTGATGGCTTGGCAGTTCGCTTTCGATTCATCAATTGCCGCGATTTCGTTGTCCAACAGGTTGCCGTTTAGTTTTGCGTTAGGGTTAAGGCATGGAAATATGTAACTCCCTCCGAAAAGTCACCACAAGGACACCTATTCTAAGTGGGCGTGGCGTTCCTATTCTCGTGTACTGTTTGGGCGGCTCTGTAAGTCATTCTTACCAGAAATATCTATGCAAAAAGTGAATCGATCCTCTGTGCGCTGACACCTCGGGTGGGAATCGTAAATTTTATATACTGGAGGGCGGTTCAGCGGTTACTGGGGGGGTCAAAAGTTTACATGGACGAACAGTTGAAGAAAAAAACCCACTCTTTTGTTTAACCACACGCGAGGTGAGTGCACGCAATAAATCCGCACACGCGACCGTGAACGCGTGCGCTTTAGTCCCCTCTCTGGGAAAATGTCCGTCCATTAACTGGGTCATGAGACGTGCTCAATTAGGGCAGGACTCATCACAACGCCGATCGATAAAGGGACA